GTAGCTGGCTTAAATCACATTGGTTTCTAATCCTATTCATTTAAGAAAAAGCATGTCAAATAAGAACTGACAATACTAACTCTTTCAGCACAGTGACATTCCTTTACGTTCTATCCGTGTAAGCGTCGTATGTTTTTTGTTATCTTTAAGCCTCATACAAAGTTGAAGCCAATTTGTTTTCCTACCATTTCATTTATCTTGACTTCATATAATTTTACACACCACAGTATAGTTTCCTTCCTTTATCTTTTGTATGTTGTTCATACGGATAAAGTTATGGCAGAGACATATGTCTTTAAAATTTTTCCTTAACATCACAATATGCTAACACCAGGATATTTTTCTTCTTTATCCTATAAACTTCCTTCAGGTTTTTAAGGTTAACCCATGGTTCCTTATTATATTGCGGTCTACACTTGTACATGATTTACACTAGGATTCTCTTCTTTACATGTCATCATACCATGTTAGTGGAAAAGTTGTACCAGAATATTTCCTTTGTTGTCAGTTAGAACCATATGACTCGTACAGTGGAACTATTTATTTTTCTTTCTTTTGACAGTACAAAGTTTAGGCCACTGGTACTGCTCTAGAGATAAGCGAGAACTATTACGTCTTGTAGCATTTTTCTTTTCACGTTTTTGTTTTTTTTGTAACCGACTTGTTGAGTATATTAAAATTTGTGTAAGAGTATATATAAAAAAGTAAAAAAAAACATTTCTTGCTTTATGAAGTACGAAACAGTAACAAATTTGTTGTCATGTATTTATTTTTAATATGAACGTTGTTTAGATTAAGTTTATATTTAGAAATATGCGTAACTTATAGTGTTAGACATGTATTGCGTGTAACGAATTTATTATATATTTATTTTAATGTCAGCGTTTGTCTGTATTCAGTTTGTATTTAAAAACGTACCTAGCTTACAATGTTAGTTACGTACTGCGAAACTCCCGCCAATTCTCCAAGGTTGTAGAATATTCGTGAACGTAAGAGTCGACAATATATCCACTTCCGTAACCAGTTAAATATAGCTCAGTATTGTTGTTGGAATTTTCGAGAAAAACCTTTCCCGTGCCAATAAAAGCAGCCAAGGCGACGCGCCAAAATAGAGAGAGCTTAAAAAAGTTGGCTAGGAACCTGCTATAACCGTGTACGCTATAAATCGTGATTTTGCTAACTCTTATCAACCGGAAAGTTTACGACATTTGACCAGGAACAGTTATAAATTTCGAACGTCAATTGATTCTCATCGGACGTTAGTATCTTTCCGAAAGTACTACTGAATTCTCATCGGGCATTAGTGGTTTTATGAAAATACTATCCTACTTCAACGGTCCAACAATTCAGTGTGTGACAAAGCTAGCTAGCTTCTCTGCAATTGTACGTACATTGACTTCAAGTTAACTTGCTGGATATCAAGGAGACTCTGAACTAAAAAGATTTTTATATTGGTTATAAGTTGATGAAATGTTTTGTTTTATAAAACTTTACTTTTGGTAACTATTCGTGATAATTGTTGTTGTAAATTGTACTGTTGTGTATATACATTAAAACGTATTTGTGTGAAAAACGAAGACGGTGTGTCAATCTTGTTGGCAAATAGCGTAAATTAACTAAAATATCGGCTTCGAACTATTTTAAATTCTCAATATGTAACAACAGCCATAAGTTTCCTGAATGTGGCCTATTAGTTTATGTACCCAGACTATGAATCAGATGGTCTACGGTTCTTATCAAGTTGTGGAAACAAGTAATAACGCAATTTGCATTTTGGGTGCACCATAAGAGTGACTGTAAAATCCAACTATTCGATCAGATAAGAGTAGTCAAATTGTTGATGGTGGGTGCTGCGAATTAGCTGCCAATAATAAATTGTCTTCTACAGATCAGTGTTCTAATGGAGCATGTATGTTCTCTACACAAAATAGTTTCCATTGTGTTTATACATAATTGTTTGTCAGTGAATGTTTTTGTTAGCATAATGTACTTCCATATATGCCAGTCTGATATTTCAAAATTAAGACGGCTAGCACACATAGCTCTTGTTACTATGTTCGTATATTCGAAATAAACTTCAAGACCTTTTCAACGGTATAGAGATCACTGTAGTACCGTCAGGTCCTGTTTTTGACATCAATAAAGACACTAGACTGCACCTGTGCGTATAACATGGTAACTAACTCCCTCTTTATTTTATTTATTTTTTATATAAGATATTTTCTTTAATCGACAGTTTAGTTTCTAAAATATTTTGTATATATTAAAAATAAAGTAAGGTATTTCTTTAATTGCCTGTCTTTATAGCTGTTATCTTTCAGTGTATTTTTTGATAATAATGATTATCCATAAAAACAAATTATAGTTATTACATACTATTAAGAACCGTTTTAGTTGAGATATAATAATACATCTTAACATGATACACGGAATAACAATATTAGGTGTTGGTAGACCAAGAATGGGAAAGTTAAATTCCATTATTTTATCAAAAATAGTCAACTACACTGTACCATCTATAAAAGTAATGTCCAAATCTAAATAACTAGCATGGACCTCATTATTATAATTTTCTTTCTATTGTAAATTCTGTTGGATATATTAAGTTTTGTGTAAAATTCATATTATTTATATATATATTAAATCATCTTTGTAATGGAAAGTGTAAATGTATAAGTTAGGATTTAAAGTAAGCTTCATAAATGAGTTTGCGTAAAAGAACAGATACAGGTTGGCCATATTTGAAGAGAAGTTCCTTCCCATTGGAATACCCACCGTTTGCTTATATACTTTTTCGTTAAAAACACTATAACAGTTATAAATACAGAAATGGAGTATATATTTTACACTGAATTCTAGTAAAAATATATTTGGGTATAGTTATTTCATTAATTGTAATCATCAAACAAATCAATGAAATTATATAATAGAAATATGGTTTTGAATATGGTCGATGGCGACTGGTCAAATGTCTTGTAACACCTTCAGCTCGATGTGTGTGTGTATGCTGAATATATTTTACCAGTCGCCATTAACCAAATTCAAAACCATACTTTTATTATAAATGAGTTATTTGGGGTTTTATTTGAAAATTAATATTCATATCTTTTCCCACTTAAAATTTGGTTGTATTGATAAACACCGAATTAGTGAATTGAAGACTTTGCAGTTAAAGGCCTATTCTATAGACTGATTTCGTATCTTGTATATTAACAGTGTGGAGTGAAGGGAAATGGAAGCGTTCTTGGGTGGGGGTGGGGGTAAGGGGTTACTCTCTTACGGGAGGAAATATTCGTGATTAATGGTAACTTTAATGTTCGGTTCTGAGTTGACATGAGCGGTGTTTTAACCATCTCTTGAGATGTTGCTATGGTAACACACCAGTGAAATTGAGCTAATTTAGTTTTTAAGAGCCCATTAGCAACTCGTCAGGTCGCGGATCGAAGAGTTTTTTGTAGCATGATCCACGAGAATGCATTACTTTAACAAACCCGTAGCGTAATTAAGTCTTTGTGATTGCTCAAGATCGTGTCATTCCAGACTCGTCCACACTTCATTTGCTCTCCTAATACATTGCCTGCTACAAACATTTCGCGGTTCTACTTAGGGCCACGTGTTTTAATCATGAGTTATTAGTTCTAGATGATTTCATTATATGTCAAATATCTGTTACCCTACTTGTATTCCTGATACACACCCTTCTTGCAACACGCATGCTCATGAGTTCAGATATCAAGAAACTTCTAGGTGTTTAGAACCTGAACATGTGAGCATGATCTTTCAGTTAGTAATAGGTGGGATAGTAAATTATTTTTAACATGAAAATTATACTTGCAAAGTATAACTACCCAAACAAAGGTTACAACGGTATCTCATTACTATTGGCCTATTTGTTAGGCCTTTTAACTTGCATGAATTACTTTTTTTAGTTTTTGTTATATCGAAAATACAAATAATTATTGTATTACGTCAACCTGAGATGCTTGGACAACTTTTAAATCACATCTTCTCTACATTCACAAGTGGAATCATGTTACTGCCACCAGATAGAGCTTTAACTAATTACTAAATATATCCTATTTCCTGAAGAGTAAATATTTTATTCTTAATAATACATGGCTATTCTTATTACAAATGGTAATACAACGCCTTTAATTAGATAAGATTTTCAGCTTTCCCATACAATTAAATTAATCTAGTTAAGTCATTTTAAGCAAAACGATATATACACGAATGCATGACCATATATATGGTCATGCATTCGTGAAATTACGTAACTGGAAATATGCATAGAGAGAAAATTACAATGAAATAGAAAGTTTGATGGTGTTTTTGAAGCAAAAAAACTTGCAAGCATTTAATTCAGTGTAACGGAAACATAAAAATCGCTATCTAGTTCGAAAATGTTTACCGTAATGCATGATGTAGTAGGCTCTGGTGCGTTTTCTTTAGGCTAGTTTTCTAAAGGATGATGTTATTATTGTATTTTTTGTTTGAATAATCTTCCTTTCGAAATGAGAATAGATGGTGGTTCTAATAGAAAAGGGTGTATTTTTATGCATAATTAAATTACCATGATATAAAATCATAACTATACATTTTTTGTCATTGAGATGGTTTCAAGAATTCAAGCAATGCTAAAGATTATTACAAATTGCATTTGTTAGTATCATGTCATTCTAAAGTAAACATTTTTTTAAGTGATGGAGACAAATTTTAGAAATTTTGCATTTCTGCGGAGGTTATAAAAACATAGCTTGAAATTTGGAGACTTTTTTTTTTTTTCTCAGCTGCATACTTCACAATATTCACTAATATTTAATTTCGTTTTAAACAGATCTGTGCCAGTTTTTATACAAACGATATTATATAAGATATGTTAAGTTGTTGAATAAATAATTTTGACCTATGAAATTCATTAATATATCCATAGCATTAAGTCGTAATGTCAAGTTTATAATGAAAGTTATTCCTGCTTACTGATTTGGTTTTCATTTCAGTTACAGAAAAGGAAATTAGACAATGGTAAGTTCAAGATATCTATTTGAATATATTACTGATTTAATGAAATTGATTTTAAGTTATTGCAAAATGAATGTATGTCAGAATTGAAAGTAATAGCTTTTACGTGCTATTAAATTAAAAATTGTATCTATTCGCTAAGTTCTAAACTTCTAGAATAACCATTAACATCTCTACAGTTATTCAGTGGAACTTAACTTTTCCAAACTTTTTATAATCAGTATTCTCCAAGAATCCTTTTTCAATGAAAATTGACCCCCAGTGGCCTAGCAGTATGTCTGCGGACTTACAACGCTAGAATCCGGGTTGCGATACCCGTGGTAGCCAGAGCACAGATAGCTCTTTGTGTAGCTTTGTGCTTAACTACAAACAAACAATTAAAATTGCCTTTTAAATACCGTATGCAATCCAAAATAACTTCTAAATATGTGATAAACGTTGAGATAGTTTCTGGATCCTATATGATATGTATTGTACCGAGTTGATATTTTTAAGTTATATAATGTATAAAATCAGTATATATTTATTTGTAAATAAAATTGAACAATATAACTATCTCCAAGCTCGATATATTAACGTTTGATTAATAACTTTACACATCTTTTAACATGACCATTCAAAAATATAAAATGAAAGCTAACTTGCTGAAGACTTGACGTTTAAACAATATGAAATAATACGTGTGTTAAGAAGACTACAGTACGACTTAACGTTGTATAAATAACATAACATGGTTCGTACTCCTAAAGAAGACTACAGTACAATTTAACGTTGTTTAAACAATAAGAAATAGCAATTCCACAAATAACGACTTTATAACACGAAATCTAGTTGTTTTTATCTTTATTGGACGCTCAACACTTCTGTTTAGCTTCTTACGGAACGTTTTACTAAAACATAAACCATAACTGACATTCCATTTCTATAAGAAATAAATTCTACAGCATCATTATACGTAGTGACTTTACAAACTACAACATGTAGATCATTTTAAACTAACCATAGCCAAGTAGCTCCTGATGTGAATCCGCCTTTCTCTGTACAAATCCTCAACAAAACCACGAAGTACAGCGATAAAAGATCTTTTCATACAACCACTACGACAACAGATGAACAGGAACAAAGGATGACACTTGTATAATATATGTGTGTGTGTGTGTATTATGTGTTATTTTTTTTTATCTTCATTAACTTTTAGTATTTCTACCGTTATTCCCAATAGCAATTTTTGTTACTGTAGAGAACAATTTAAATTTCCAACAATAAGCTTTACTGTCAAACGCACGCTGTAGAAACGCATGCTATAGAATTGATTAGAATTTCTTCTAGAAAGCAATTGAACTGTCAGTTACAGTTTGTGTTTTAGTGGAACGCTCCTGGAGAAGTTGTAAAGGAAAACAGTAAGTGTCCAGTTAAAAACCCACCTAAATTTGGTGTGTAAAAGGTCTTTTGTTCAAAATTAACGTCTTTCATACCCCAACTATGTGCCACAAAAATTAAATATGAAATATAAGTTTCCCTTGAAGACTACAGAATGGCTTAATGTAAAATAATACGTAATAACACAAGATTATAGGTAACCCTGAGAACTATGGTATGACCAAACATTGAAATAGCACAAAATAATGGTATCTTCTGAAGATTACGGTACATTTTAACGTTTCAATAATATAGAATGAAAGGTAAATTCTAAATAATTTAATTTTAACGCTTCAACCACATAGAAGTATAGTTGACCTCTAAAGACATGCTATACAGCGTGTGGAAACTGAGTTGTACAATAGCAGTTGACGGCACTATGTGTTAGGCTTTAAGGTTGAGGGAGAACATGTAAAGACTGAATGTTACATATTAACATTTGAAGATGAAATGTAACATTTTCTGCTTTCATTTTGAAAGATGCTGTGTCTAAGTGTTTATCTTTTTTTACAAACTTAAAAAATGTTCATATCATTGTCCACTACCATTATCTTAATTTTGTGGACTTTGGAATACTTCAAAATCTAAAATAAAACGACAAGAATTAAAATTGGTTATTTCCTTCTAGTAACATTAACAAAACAGATGTGTCTATTGTTGTGTGGAACCGGTTTATTTGAAATGTTGATAATTTTAAAAGATCTGTGTGTATATGAATTCTAGTATCATTTGTGCATTGAAATTATAGATGCTGTTAATATTTTTCTTAAAATTTGTTCCAGATGTCAGCTAATGCTGTTTTGGAACTATTTAACTCTTTTTACCGTTACGTTTATGTATTAACAATTCTTCCAATGACAGTGCTGCATAATTGGGGCACACACGTACATACCCGCGACAGTGCTGCATAATTGGGGGCACACACGTACATACCCGTGACAGAGTTCCAGAGAGGGGGGACACGTATGTACCCATGGCAGTGGGTTAATAGACGAGAGTAAATGATAAGCAATAATCTGCCAGGATTAATGGCAATATTCAATCGAATACTACGAGATTCCCCATTATTTGAAACCACGAGAAAGACACTAACGATGTAACTCCCTTAAAGTTACTATATGAACTATATCATTCAATTTGTCGTGAAATAATTAACTATTGAAGTTGACTTTGTCATGCTATTATTCTAACCTTCTGAATGGAGCAACAAATTCTAAGGCTTACCTAAAGTCTAAGAAGAAAATTCTCGTATTGTTGTTGTTAGTGACCATCTTCAGAATCACTAACAGTAGAGACAAAGCCTACTTTTAAATTGATGGCTGACCCACACTGACCACTTCAAATTAAGATTCAAGGTTGGAAACTAGGACAAAGTGGGATTCTTACCATCAATTATGGAAGTCGAGCATGAGTAGTTAAGGCTGTACCGTGGACGCGCACGCTGATTGGCTGCCTCGGGGAGGAGGAAGGTAGAAGTCACAAAAGACAATTATGTCATAGTTCCACAAAGTATCATGCAGCTGTCTTAGAAATGGTTGAAATTATAGTTCGATACAAGACAGATGGTTATGACATAATAGTTTTTCGAAAACAGAGAACATGTTTCTAGGCCGTCATGGCAGGCGGTCATGACGTCATAGTTCCACGAAGTGGGACCAGCATAGATATGATGAACATGTCTCAACATGACTGTAAGTAGTACAGTTGGTATAAAACACTAATTCGTTATTTAATTACATTTCCTGACCATATGTATTTAAATCATTCTAAAATGATACTTATCATTAATTTATTAGCTAATTACATTCCCTGGTCACTTATGTGTAAATCATCTTAAAAGGACGATGTCATAAAATAATTAAACTTTGCTTTTTGACTCTATAGTGTCCGCCTTTGTAAAACTCATGTAAGATAAAACTATAAAAGTATCATGTGTAAAATAAAATATTTTGTCTTTCATATTAAATATTCACTGAAAATCTTTGAAATAATCACTTGGTTTATAATTAATTAGTCAAACAATAAGTTTTTAAACTATTTCATGATATCATCTTTTTAGAACGATTCAAATATAAATGATCAGGAAATGTAATTTAATGTAAACTAAGTTTAGTGTTAAATGTGGTTTTTCAGGATGAATTACATATAAGTCGTCAGGATATGCAATTAACTAATAAATTAGTGATAAACATTCTTTTTAGGATGATATAAATTGTTAAGAAATGTAATTAACTAATGAATTAGTGTTTTATACTGACTATTAAGTACAGTCATGTTGAGACATGATAGTCATATTTATGCTGGTCCCATTTTATGGAAATATAATGTCATCGCTGCTTGTCATGATGACCTACATTGTTCTCTGTTTTCAAAGAACTATTATGTTATAGCAGTCTGCCAGGTATCGAACTATAATTTCAACCTTTTCTAAGATAGCTGCGCCCTCTGGTGACACTTTGTGGAATATGATGTCATAGCCGTCTGCCATGGTGGTCTAGCAACACATCCCTAATAATATCCCCTCCCTGAGGCAGCCAATCAGTGTCCGCATCCAAGTGCAGCCATAACTAATAGCATATACTTTAACGACTTTATCTATCCTGCACTTGAATGTCATAGCAAATGAAGTTTATTTTCGTAATACTTCTATGTGATAGGAGCAATTCATCTAGGATTTTAAGATTGGTTGATGTGTCCGGCTACGTCGATCTGTGCAAACCAATCAACACTGCTTCAAGATGGAAATGAGAAGTTTTGATACATGTCTTTCAATATTTTAAGATTATAAATCTTAACATTGTTTTTAGTTTTTTAAAGCATTGAATTAATCTTTCAGATGTTTTTCAATTGTGTAAATTGAAACTCATTTTAAATTCCCATAGAAGAAAACTAATGTAACGTTTTCCATGTAATTTTATAATTAAATTTCAGTGGCTATAATTCTCACAATTAGTGAGTTATTTTGTAAGGTCTAGATAGAATGAAGTAGTAACGCACTATTGGTAAAAAAAATATTGATAACATGTGAATTCAACACATGTCACTTCAGAACTTAAGTAAAATGAACAAAACAATAATTAGAAGTCAAGATATGGAAGTACTTTTTGGAGATACAAAACAAATTCCCCAAACATATTTTTATGCTGTGTTAAACATCTGAAGAATCGTCAAACTAAAGAAATGAATACCAATTTTAGCATTTCAAGCTATAACTTGAATTTAGCATTAGGAATACGGACTACTTTCATATAGTGTTTCCAAAATGTGTGGAGGCTACTTAAAAATAATCCAACAGATGAATAGAAAGTGTGCCATACAGTAGTATAGAAGAATATTTTAGAGGGGCAAGGAAAAGATGCTTAAAAGGAAATAAACATTTCAAATACTCCTAATCTTTAAAGGTCAAAATCACTTGGTAAGTACATTTCAAACCTGTAACAATGATTTACCTCTTCTTGCAGTGAAGGTTCTAATTCAGGAATATAATTTTTTTTCTCAATGAAAAATTTCCAAATCCTTAAGCAAATGCTGGTTGAAGAAGATTGATCTGTAATTAAAAGAAATACCAAATACGGGATTTATTAATAGGTATGTGGAATACAGCTTAAGTCTCAGTTTTTAGACTTTGTTAAAAAGCTTTTTGAATTTTACAAAGCCAATAACTGCACTAATCATAAGATTAAATAATTTGTTTTTGTTGCAGGTATAAAGGATTTCTCAAGGACTGTCCTGATGGTCAACTTACAGAACAGGTGAATTTGATTGATACTAGTGTCATAAGTCAGTATTCTAAATATTGAACCAAAGCATGTATAAAGGATTTCTCAAGGACTGTCCTGACAGTCAACTTGCAGAACAGGCGAGTTGAATTGATACTTGTATGTCATAAGTCAGTATTCTAGATATTGAACCAAAGCACATATAAAGGATTTCTCGAGGGCTGTACTGATGGCCAAGTTACAGAACAGGTGAGTTGAATTGATACTCGTGAGTCATGAGTCAGTATTCTAGATATTGAACCAAAGCACGTACGTCGTGAATCGGGACTGAGAAACCAATTTAAACATACCTTAAAATGTTTACTGCTAAAATCTTGAACAGGTACCAGACAGGAAAAACTGTGTAATAATTTTCAGAAATCTATGCAACCTATTTCAGACATTAAATTTTCACAACATTCTTAACCAAAGATGTTGTCATCAAAAGTCTAGACACTTGGGCGAGAACTGTAGGAAGATCACATACTTAATTTTTGTTTTCGTTTTTTTAGATATTCACCAAAAAAGTGGATCAAATTGTATGTTACAGGCCCATAGCAAAAAATAACGCTGGACAACAAAAACTTTGCTACTAGGGAAAACTCGTGTGATTTGGAGTACTTTGATGGCACTGATTTCAAAAATGCAACCAGAATTTGTCCATCGCTTATAGAGTTTGAGTCATTGTAATATCTCTATTTTATCACCACTATGAAATACCATACATCAACTCAATACAATAGATTTATGCTGTAAAATTAAGTTTATGTGGACAGTTTAAATGGTAAAGGCAGAGATTTTTGAAAACTTCAAACATTGACTTTATTGATGTAAAATTTCAAATATATTGTTCATACATACTAATTGTTCTCAATATAATTGTAGTGAATTGCACCACTTTTGCTTCATTTCCACGCTCACCTGCTCTGCCCAGGAATTGCAAAACTGTCACGTGCTCAGTTTGCTAGAACATTCAAGAAGTCCCTGATTGAGCATAAAAATGACATTCAGATGCCACTCAATTGGTCACCTCGCCTCGCTCCGTGCACAGTTAAAAGAAAGTCTGATATTCTACCTCACATCATACCTGCAATATGATCAAATTCTAAATAACCTTTTTTCCTTCTAAAATATTTTAAACTCTACTTTTAAAAGCATAAATTATTTTATATTTTTTAGAAAATCATTTGAAATGTTGGCTGCGTCCAGTTTAAATAAATTCCGAAAATGCAAAAATCACCTAAACAGTTTCTGCTACATTTCTGGAAAATATATTAGTTTCATGGAGGAAAAAATCAAACGTAAGGTAAAGTTAGCTTATTGTCACTATTTTGGGTAAAACTTGGTGACAAAGAAGAACATTGGGCTATACATGTACAGTTTGCACATCTACCTTGACACAATGCCTGAATAAGAAGAGATCAAAGTATGCCATTTTCAGTTCCTATGATACGGTGTGAGTCCAAAGATCATCTAACTGATTAGTTTCTCCACGACTGTTTCTGGATATTCTGGCAATACATTAAATATCCAGATATTGCATCTGCAATGAGACCAATATCTCATGGGAATGGTTTTCCAGTGTCACATCCACCAGCAAATCGGGAAACAGAAGAGTTATCTTGCGAAGAAGACAATGAATCATCTTCATCATCTAATAATTCTGTTCTTGTGGCACCTCAACATAAATTGCCTCATCTGATCATACAGGAAGAGCTAAATGGTCTGATTCGTGACTTGTCTCTATCAAAGCAGCATGAGGAACTTCTTTGCTCTCATTTGCAGCAATGGAATTTATAAGCTCCAGGAAAACGAGTTTCAGTTTACTGGAGATGCCATCAAAGTCTTGCTTCTCATTACAGCATTGACTAACTGAATTCCCTTTAATCTATCACTTCAAAATTAGGGACAACTATGCGCAATATTCTCGTCTAGTTTTGTGCAGAGTGGCGTACATGCCACATTAGCAGCCATATCATTGAAACGTATGGGGCCCTTTGGCTCATCACACGGCATCCACACACATACACGTATATGTATAGGTTTACGTATATAGCCCAAACCACAACCACAATTCTAAATTAGCTGATTGGTCAAGCGTTAAATGTCAATAAAGATTAGTAAACTTGGCTCAACTTACCCTGGGCAACAACAAAATGTTTCTCTGTTATTAGAAAAGATGCAACTATTTCTGTGTAACTGGACGATGGTAATTCAAAAAAAAAGTTAAAATTACTGATCACCTCTAGTTTCCGAGTTACGATAGATTTATTTAAGATATTCTTATGTCGTGAAAATAACTTTTTTTTTTCAATAAATTTATTTATTCATTTAAAATTGCATTTAAGAATGTATAATCTACATGCTTTGGTAAGTTCCTTTCAAGTTCATAGCATGGGCAACAGGAATCGATGTTCCCATTGTGCGAAAGTAAAGGTTTCAGTCTAACTTTACATAAGTCGATTAAAAAAATCTCCATTCTTGAGGATGTTTAGTACCTAAGTCTTCCCTGAGTGCATCAAAATTTGTACAGAAACAAAGTCTCTTACGTATCACCCATCGCCAACTCTAAATGAATAGTGGGATTTGACTGTCACTTTTATAAAGTACTCACGACCCCAAAGAGCGGAGTGCAATTTTGCTCTAGCGGGACCCTCAGATTCACAGTCCAACACGCTAATCACTCAAATAATTTAAGGAGATACTTGTGACAATTAATACTATCATTTGTCAGTTAAAACTTAACTAGAGCTAGCATTCATGAGACAATCGTTCGAAGTCAAAATATATAGCTAATTTGTAGAAATACGAAAAAAATGCCGTAATATCTTTAAGCTATATTGAATATATATAGTCAAAAATATGTATATTAACAGAATGACAGTTGATTTATATAAACATTATCCAATTTCGAAACGAAAGGAACAAAATGCTTGGTTACTGCTCAAAATTGATATCTAAACGCTTGTAACAGTTCATTAAATGTTAACATACACCTGTAGAGCATACACCTGTAGAGCATACACTATAAAGCATACATTTTCGTCTGTTTTATCTGATTGCTTTGTTTGATAGTGGGCCCGGCATGGCCAGGTGGTTAGGGCGCTCGACTCGCAATCTGCGGGTCGCGGGTTCGAATCCCCGTCACATAAAACATGCTTGCCCTTTCAGCCATGGGGCGTTAAAATGTGACGGTCAAGCCCACTATTCGTTGGTAAA